AAGAGTGAATGTCAGGAGCTGAGACAAGGGCAAACACACCCTGTACTGTGGAACCTTCCCAAAGTGTTTCTTGACATGAGCTGTCCCCAGCCAGGCTGTGGTATCTCAGCTGAGATAAAACCCCCTTTCCCTTCCCTCCTGTCCCAGGATCAAGCTCAACTCAAATAAGAACCGGGAGATTAGACACACTTTCATGGAACACTGATAACTCTGGAGTGGTGTCCAGGACACATAGCATCTCCACCAAAGTGACCACAGGGTGCTGGGATTGCTCAGAGCATGGGAAAAGAACCCAATTACAAAGCTCAACTTGCTTTGCTTCCCTTAGATTTGTAACCTGGTTGGGATAACAGGGCAAATCTCTGTATCTCAAATTTACAGCCCTGAAAAGCCTAAAACATGAGATGTCAGTAGAAAATCCTACTCCAGCCCTTGCAGAGCAGAGAGTGCCCTGGGCTCTGCTATAGCATCATTATTCTTGTCTCTGATTCTGAGCTGCTGAAGGATACTGGATTAGTTACATCTTCCTCCCGTACCTTTGCTGCTTCTTCTTCTGCAAGGACAGGAAAGCACCTTGCAAGTTCCTCAGTCACAAAATACCACAGAAATGACAGATCTGGCTTTGAATAAGATCTCAGTCACCTTAAATCCTCTTTCCTCCACTCCATCTGGGCCTTGTCTTAAGTAAGAGCACACCTGAATCTACTCAGAGTTTAATTATTTCCAAAACCTGGGATCGAGCATGGCATTTACTAAATATGAGGTTCAGTCTTGTAACAGCATCACAAAATACCCAGGAAAAGAGACAGGGCTGGTGACAGAAGTGGATTTAACAGAAGCTGCTAAAGCTAAATCTTTATCTAGATTTAGATAAAGTGGGAATCAGTCACAGCCCGATTTAGTAATAGAGTTAATAATTGCTTTTAGGAGTGCAGCTAGAGAGGTAGAAATGGCCATGCTCCTCTTCCCAGAATGTCTGTGTCCTTCCCAACCACGCTCAGGTGGACTCCAACATGACATCTGCTCATCATCCCACACCTGTCCAGCTTCCCGCTGATGCTGCATCACCAGCTCCCTCCTTTATGGCTCTGCAGCCCATGTCTGAGCACTGCTTAAAGCCTCGTCACACTCTCACCACCACTCACATTCATGCCAAACCTGGGCAAAGTGGAGATGCAGCAGGACAGTTTAAGGCAGTTCTAGAAATAACTTCCATGTGCTAAACCACCTGTTCCCTGAGCAGCTCCGCTTCACATCTCCTCTTATCGGATGTCTGGGAGCAACTGGTCCTGGCTGCATCTGTTCAGCATTTATTACTCGTGATGGGTGGGACAGGCCTCATGATCACTTACTAAAGATGCTGACCGCCTGAATCTGCAATGGGAATGTGCAGGCATGGGAAAGCTGCATTGCAGTATGAGTGCCTTTGCACACTGAGCTCTGTAAGAACCTCACTTCAGAGCCATGACTCAGACTGTGCTTTCTGGAGACAAATGATGTCAGGACTCATTCTCATCTGCCTTGGTTCTCCACCTGCATTTTCCATCATCATTTCAGACTTTTCCTTCTCTGCAATAGATCTTAGCCTTGGTTCTAAGCACTCAAGACTTGATGTGATCTTGGCACAAGGGTGCAGATTCTCTCCAAGCCGGCGTAGTACAAACACATATTTGTGAAAATATATTTCTACACTTCCCTTCACATCCCCTTTCATACATCCCCACAGAGCAATTACTGACAAACAGCAGGAAAACAGGACTGCTAAGCAAATACATAAGAAAAGCTAACGTTATACGGCAAAGGGACTCTTAAGAGTTATTTATCTACCCTAGAAACAGGTTAAATCTCTGGATTAAAGCTATAAAACCTTGTTCTTAGGGAGGTAATAGAAAGGAGCAGATATATTACAGAGTTACAGAGCAAACATTACTGATGGTAAGTAATCTCCCATTATCAGCTGTGGGTTAAATAGTGCAAATATCTTCCCCCTCCTCCAAATCCCCTGCTCTACAAGCCTGGGGCAGGCTGCTCCCTCCTCTAGTGTGAGTTTTAATCCCCCATAGTTCACAGTCCCTGCTTTCCTCCAGGCTGGCCATGATCTCCAGTGTCACATCATTCCCTCCAGCATTGGTCACCTCACTGCTGTCCCACACGGCCAGGTCAGGTCACACACACAAGTCTCCTGCCTCTAATCCACCCTGGCTGACAGGAAACCAAGGGCCATCACATCCATCCTATCTCACCCAAAAGCACAGGGAACAGGGACCTTTATCAGGTGTCCCCAGCACTGTGGCAACCAGGATCCTTCTCAGCCACCTTGGCATGAACCAGGGGTAACTTGAACGCAGCAAGATGCATTGCAAGCAAAAAACCCACTGAAGAGGGTACTGATGCTCTATCTGAGGACATGCCTTGGTGGCAGAAGGACAGTCACTCATCCAAGCAGAATCATGGCCAGTAACTGCAAGCCAAATCCTTCTCAGGTGTTTAGTGGCCGCTCTTTCATAGCAGCGACTGAGCATCTTTAGGCGCGAGCAGACGCGCTCTCCCCGCCTGGCGCCCTTACCTCTCCCACGGGGTGCGGGTGAGATCCCACGGAGCCCACTGGAAGCTGGCGGGCGTCTGAGAAATGCTCTTGGGAAGCAGGAGGCTTTAAGGGGGCTCCAGAGCCCACCCCCGGACGGGCAGCGCCGGGAGGAATGTGCCCGGCGCCCAGCGAGGAATGCAACACTTGTGAGCTGCTATTTTGGCAGCCACAGCCATGGCCCCCTCTACAGCTCCCTCTTCCCCCCCTCGGGAGCCCATATAAGCCCAAGCTATTGTGCAGCCTCAGAGATTGGCTATTTTAAACCTGCCAGACCAAGATACGCAAGTGCTCGAGGGGCTGACACAAGCCAGGCAGCTGTCACTTTCTAGGGCTGGGGACGCTGATAAGTGAGCGCTCCCACAAGTGGAGGTCTGGACCCTCTGCTATAGCCCAACCACCAGCTAACGCCCAGCCTCCACACTGCTCCCAAGAAGCTGTAGCACAACGGCATGGGTCACACCAAGCTGGATGCTCCACCAGGATGGTTTCTTGGGAGCTCCCAGACACATGTGTCTTGGCTCTGTCCACCAAGACTGCTTGGTCTGCACAGCACTGACACCAGCACAGGTGGGTTTTGCCGTTGTCCCTTGCCAGAGGAAAGGAAGCACCTTTCCTTTTCCCAGAGCTGGAGCACGCCAAGCAGGAGCATCTTAAAAAGAATCTTTTTATTATTATTATTAGAAAACAATATAATGAATGGAGGAAAACAGGTCCTCTTCAAAGCCTTACAAGCAAGATTAAGTTTAGGGTGAACAACAGAGTCCCACACTGAATTTAGACACTGCAGTAGCTGCTAGAGGCACAGCCCTAGCCCACGGCCTGGTCCCTGCACGAGGACCTGAGCATCATTTCATGTGCTGGCCTCAAGAGAGCACCTCGTGTCCACTGATGGCAGCTGTTCCCAGGCAGGCTCAGCAGGCCAAACAGGCAGGAACCAGGTAACTTTGGGTCCCCATAGCCAAGGATAAATGGTTCCTGAGGAGTGGTGAGAGGGAGGATAAAGTTTGCAGGGGTCTTGCACTCCACTAGGCCCAGGACTGGACCTGTAAACAGGTCATGGCTATTCCACCCTCCTCAGAAAGGTTCACTGCTTGTAGGGGGCAGGAAATGAAGGGGGTAGGATGGAAGAGGGCAAAC